GCTGCAGAACCTGCACAACCTGCACAATGGTGCTAATGGTCAGTGTTAACATCGACTCCTCTACCAAACTGACTGACAACAGTCACTGCGATGTTTACTTTTAGAAGTCATTGTTTTGTTTGTTTAATTTCTCATTTTTACTTTTTGGTGCTGTTTTATATTTTGAACACTGGTAACCTCGTGAGGTTTCATAACTTTTATTGTTGCCCTAATAGGCTGTTTATTAAACAAATGACTAGAGTTGTTTATGCTTTTAAACCCTGAGAAAGTTTTTTCTTTTAACCAGATTTTCCCAAACCGGTCAGCTCTTTTGGATGCATTTAATCATGACATTTTATTTATTTTTTTCTCACTTGTATTTAATGTGCCGTGTATCACCACCTACACTATCATATCTGATGCTGCTGTACTTAATTTGCCTTTTAATAGGTGGATTGTACAAAACATTGTTAATTCGATTTTTCTATGATTTGATTTGTGTTGTATGATGAATATATTTTGTGACTGTGCCTTCTATGATTGCTTCATCACAGTATAAATAACAAACCTTTTATTTCCTATGACTCCTATATATTTCCTGTTTTTTGGTCTAAATGTATTAAATGGATGATTTGTACACAGCCCTACCAGCAGTGTATCACTACCTGTCAGTACTTTAAACACTGTTTGCTTGACTGGCTAAAGAGTTTGGTTGTCTGTCAGTCAAAATGTGGTTGAAAGATAGGGTGTGTATATCCAGAGCTGCTATGGTCATGCAGTTAGATCAGCAGGACACAAACTCTTTTTGTTATTCATGAATGCTGTTCTTTCTATTTTGGGCTCTCAAGGATTCCACTGTGGTTCTTTTTTCCTTAGTGGGCTCAATAATTTCTGCCGTTCTTCCTATACTGGCATCACCGTTTTATACTACCCAGTTTTAACAATTAAAAAAAAAATTCCTGATAGAAGGCAGCTTAGTCACTTTTTTTTTTAGAAAGTTTTAGTTTCATTTAAAAGTTTGAGAGAATCCCAGCAGCAACATTCAGTGCCTGCAGAACAAACACCTGATTTCAGATATGCCTTCATAAATTGTTTTAGTACATTTAGTCATCTAATGGATTTATTAGGTCTTTTCAGTCTTCAGGCTTTGCCCTGTCTAACACCAACTCACCTTGCCAGGCAAACCAGTGATACTGTTGGCTCTTCAAGCTACTGTATATCTGAAATCAGGTGTTTGGCCTGCAGCTTGGCTGTGCTGTGGCCAACTGTGGTCATGGACAGATAGACTGTTGTACTCTGCACTATAAACTAAAATGTTTGAACATACCACCAGTGTGACAACAGAAAGTCTCTTCTGGCAGCAGACTAGAGAGGCAGTAGTAGCTGGAGCTCACCCTAAACAGACTCAGAGCAGCAAACCCATCTGAAGTTTCCAGTTTGGTGGCAGAAGCCTGACTCAACACTAATGGACCCTGTGATGTTTCCTCTGGCTCTTATTGTGCTTAAAACTGGCAGGAGCTGAGCTGTTGAAGCTTGCACATGATGAGCACCCACCGTGGTCCCACAGCCAGGCCAGAGTGTGAATACTAATGGGGCTGTATAGCACATGATGACATGGTTATGGGTGACAAGGCTGCAGTATGTAAATCAAAGGGAATATTAAAATAGACAGAGGGGAGACGGAAGGAAGGAAATCAAGGCAAAGGACACAAAAACACAGCTGGAGAAAGCAAGGATGTACTCAGTGACAAAACAGCTGATTCTCAGCTACCAAATATGATTGCTTGTTATCAGTCATTTTTCAACTGATGGAGTCACTCTTTAACTGAAGAGTCAATGAGCCACTGCAGGTGGACAAGGTCTCAGTATCTCAGTGCTGTCTGTGGCCCAGAGAGGTCGATAAACACATCTGGAATGGAACAGGATTCAGGTTTGGCACAGGAGAAGTTCACAATTTATGACAAGAGGGACAAGGCAGAGACAGAAAGACAGCACTCATGGTTGTGGCTTTGCACGTCAAATCACTGTTGTATGTGAATAGTTGAAAGTGCACCACAGGGATACCCCATCCCCACCTTCCTCACTCCTATTCTAAGCTGTGGGTGATCCCAAGGGTGATTTCCTTGGTACTAACAAGGTGTATGAGGTCACGGCCATGTACTGCCTGCAGGCATCAGCCCAAAGGAGGCTGTGGAGCAAACAAGCATAAATGTTGACCCTTCTCCCAGCTCGAGTGAGATCAGAAATCAAGTGACCAAATCGTCTGCCAGCGATATCACAGATAAATACTTCCTTCCTTTCTCTGAGACATGTATCATTTCATATAATGAAAAACGACTGAGAATTTGGACTCACTTTTTCCCAGTGCAGATGTTTGTCCAGACTGCTTCCTCTCCGTGCTCTGTCATCCACATCTGGGCCATCACAACCTAAGAATGGTAGTCAAATGAAGTTATGTGTGTTTTCCAAAATTTCTCACAAACTATGACATCCGTGTGGATGAATGTGTGATTCCTGGCATCAGAGTGGGAGAATACACGTCTCAATGACCAATTAAGTGCAGAGAAACACACTGCTCTGATCAACAATTAGTGATTTTCACATGAAATCAGCACAGGTCTTTTCTAGAGGAACCATCCAGGCCTGGCCTAGTAATCATGTTCCCTGGAGTTCATGATCTTGAAAGAGCAGTGACACAAAAGCAGGGCCCAGAGAGAGCTGTCATTATTAAATTGTCAGAGGCTGTCATGACCTTCTGTCTTTCTTGGGGACTGAGGAAATAAACTCAGTGGTTTGGCAACAAGAAATGTATTTATGTCTTAAATGGAAAATCTCACGGCAGCTAAGTAGGGATGTCACTCTCTGCTGTAAATACATTGTTTGCTTTGTCAGGAGGTGCACTGCAGTGAACTTAACCTGATTCTTGTCCTTAGAAAGTGAGCCTTGCTTAGATGCTGGAATGCTCCATATAAAAACGCAGCCAGCCATTCACATTACAGGGATCATAGAGGACAGTGGATGCAGGTGTGAGTTTTAAAGGTTACTGCTCCACTGGGACTTGTTACACTTAGCTTAGATTTGGCAGTCTTAGAAAGTAGCAGTCAAACCCGGCGCTGATCTCATGTCTGACCGACCCTGGCGCTGATCACCTCCACTCTGAACAGGGGTGGAGAAAAGGAGCATTAAGGGAGAGCAAAAAAAAAAAAAAAGGGGAAAAATATGGTAGATCTTAAAGTTGGATTAATAAGAGAAAAGGTATAACTATTAAATATATGGACACAGTCTTGTGGTTATGTCTGACCACTGGCAGCACTCAGTCTTTACAGCTGACTGATCACGCTACCACGGCTGTGGATGAGTCTGCCCCTGTCTGTCCCTGTCTTCTTATGTCTTTTCCTGTCTCTCAGGCACAGATGTGAAGAAATCTCTGGGGGAAGGGCACAGAAATAAAAACTGTTTTCTGCTGTGATTTTCAAAGAATAAAAATTTAAGAGGTTGTTAGAACAAGTAGGACACCACAATAACAGCATTTGTTGTTTAATTTTAATATTTGTTGGTTAATTGTATTTGTTTGTATTTAACTATGCATGACCAAATATGAAATGGTAGTTGGTTTGGATGTGTCCTTTTATCCCCAGAGATGTATTGTGCAGTGTAATACAGTTTTTGGTATGCAGTTGTACAGTAATTCCACCACTAGATGGCAGTTCAACTTTATAATTGACTTTATTATCTCCTCCGCTTTGGTACCAAATACAAACACAAATGACAGTATATCCCCAGACGATTAGTAGATTCATACTCTTGCTTGTGTCTCTCAGAGCCAGTGTAAGACTGTATTTCCCACCGGACAACATTACTATTTTTCTAAAGCTTAAGAGCAGTTTGTTCTGAACAGCGTCCTCTTCTTGATTTCTCCTTCAAACACACATTTTCTGCAAGTCTGACTCAGCAGCATAGCAAACTGTAGAACTGAATCAAGTCAGGTAAAACTCTCAGGAGGGCCTTGTATGTTACAGTAATGATGTTACAGTTCTTAAACTGAATTAAGAAGCTTGTTTATTGATATTTGTTCTGCTCTTACACTGATGGAAACTTTGATTTTTCTGCTATCAGATGGTGGCTTGCCAGAAGGACAAAGCTGCTTGACACTCCACCAAGTTGTTTGAGACTGACTAAACAATATGAAAATAAGGCCAAATTGTCTCATATCATATACATTAATCATTTTGAATTCAAACTAGAAAATGGCCAACAGTTAAAACAGATGAAAATCTAAAGAAAAAAAAAATAGGACCCACCTTAGCCGTGAAGATTTTTAGCAGGCATGCTGAAGCAGAATGTTTGTCTAAGTCAGTCCATGCTCTGAGTGTCACCATCTTGTTTTGGGGTCACTGAGGAAAGGACACGGGTCAAATCCCAGTCTGCTGCTGACACACCAACACAGCGGGTGTAGTTAAAAAACTAGACCAAGAAACAACAGAGACAAGTGTTGGTGCAGGACTGCGTGTGTATATGAGGAGAGCATCTGGCACTCATCACAGGTTTATAGGAATACCCCAGAGTTGGACCTCATGAAGTCAGAAATTTTATTATAAATACATCGGTTTTAATGTTAAACAGTTGGTGCAGTGTTATGTGCCTTTAGTCTGAAACTAAGGATTGAGTCTGTTATTGCCAGTCACTCGGCTTGGCATTGGTATACTGGTGTGTTAGAGTTCAGCAATAATGCCATGAAATGCCTTTTGGGAGGCTTTTAAGGGACTGTGCACAGAACACTACACACTGAGGGTCCAGAAATATTAACTGGAAGTTACTCTGTCTGATCCTCTTCCTGGGTACTGGGTGCAAAGGAATTTACATCAAACCTTTATTTTTAAAACACTGCTCAAAGATTTGGAAACCCAGAGGGTTTTTTCTCTGGTAATTCTGTCATAAAAACAACAGCAGACTCAAGATTCTCTTGCATGGTTTTATTTGGTTTAACATGATAAAAATAGTGTCATTTGTAGAGGCACGTCAGAAAACCGAGCAAACAGCTCCATGGATGTCTGTGCAGATTCTCAGTCATTCAGGTCATAGTAAACTGAAAAAACTTAGACTTAGATTTCTAGGTCAAAGACGTTTCACCTCTCATCCAAGAGGCTCCATCAGTTCTGCTCCATGGATAAAACAGCACACTGTAGCTCCTGGCCCATGACCATTTAACTATTTAAAAAATAGAATGTCTTCTGGGAAAACACAGTAATATAAAAGTTACACCGATTTGAAAGTTACTTTGTTTTCCACAAATTACCTTGAACACAAATAAAACTACAAATTACATGAACTCATCATTGTTCACAAAGACTTTCCTGGATTTCTGCTGCTTCACTGACATGTATCATATCTTTAGTTTCTGGGAAGAACCTGAAGGTCCTGAGAGAGCCAAAACACTGTCCTTTTTACTACACATCATGTGTGTGCCTGTGTGTTTTGTGCCTACTGTAGGTGTGTGTTTGTTGTTGTGTACAGCTCTTTGCGGGGGAAGAATCGTTTCTGAGAAGCTCCCGGGAGCTTTTCATCGAAACAGAATGAGAGGTCAATATTGCATCTGAGACCGCTTGTGGCTTTTCAGTGTGGCTTCGTTTCTAAATCTCACAACAGATTGCTGGATAAAGACAAACACCCTCAGTCACCTCTGGTCTTGCTGTGCCCCAGACTGAACTAAACAAAGGGTTACACTGAGAAATCCTGTAATCAGCACAGTCCCATTCGAGCTGCAGCTGTACTGATTATTAATGTGACATTATGAATGGACTGTAAATTGCCCGTAGGAGCGTGTGTGTAGTTGTTTGTCTACATGTCAGCCCTGTGATAGACTGGCAACCTGTCCAGGGTGTACCGTGCCTCTTGCCCAATGCCAGCTGGGATTAACTCCAGCCCCCTGTGACCCTCTTCAGGAATAGATAATGGATGGATGGACATTATGAATGCTACTGATGCCAAAAGACTGCAAATCATGTCACAGAAAGAGGAAATGCATCCATAAATGTTTTTCATGACTTTTGTTATTAAAGTATGTATTGTAGTCAGTTCAAAATACATCGTAGGCCTAATCTCAATGTACAGCAGTGGCCTATGACAGTATATTAATATCTATAATGTTAGAATTCAAATTTATTCTAAAGTCAAACTTAAACTTTAGGCTTCCTTTTGGATCATTTTCTGCCGACTATTTGGCTTTGGTAAACCTTTTAGACTGTCTATCTCACATATGTGGTATCCTTTTGAGTAGTTTATGCCATTTATCAGTTAATCTAACATATAGTAAGCTTCTCCCCGATCACCACAGTCATGAGTGTTCAGATGATTGGGTGAGCCAATGATGCAATGATGCATTAAAATTGCTTGTACTTTGAAGCTCTGCAAAGTAGAAATGATGACGTAGTTAAAACACTGTGAGAACAATAGCTGAGACACTGTTTCCATTTGACAGTGATAACTTCAGGTAAACTAGCTGAAACAGTGCTGACTCTACACAGCAACACAGACGTCTGGATTTTTTGTACTTTTTCTCAACATTTAAACGACAAAGGTATGACCCTGCATGTGTGTAAATGCAGTTGTGATGGTGTTTTAAAAGCCTGTCAACACGTTTTGTGCATAAAATTAGTTTAAACAATTTGTAGCCTGACAGTAACTTGAAAACCAAAGCCCTCGTGTTCCATCCACAAGGGTGTGTCCTGTTGTTGCCTAACTAGGCCTCGTCTCAGGACCAGGTGGATGTGCACAGACCTAGCTTGATTAACACCTTCTAACTGTCCTGTTTTGTTGATTATGCTGACGTGGTAAAAACCTGCAGTTTTATGACCTTTACTCCTCACACCTCAACCTGACTCTGACCAGAGAAGAAAGGATTTTAAATGAAAGCTTCTGAGGACATAGCAAAGAGATTTAACAGACAGTTCCAGAAAAAACAGGCTTTAACCAGTCTAAAATTTTGAACTGCAGCTAAGCTAACAAGAATGCGAGAGCTCATTACTTCCTGATAGAAGCTGACTACACTTTTGTAAGCTTTGTCTTTGTAAACCCCATTCATATACACTGTCCCTGTAAAATAAACAAAACATTCATAAAGAAATGAACAAAGCATGCAGTTTGAGACAAAAGTCCCCCCCTCCCATATTAATATGAATATTTATGAAATAATAAATATGAACAAGATCATTTTGATATAATAGTGATATGAATATGTATACACTGCAAATGTAGAGGAAATACAGTATGTGATGTAAGTGGGGAAAATGTTTATTTAATACATTTAATAAGTTCAGGGAATCTAAGGGGAAAACAACAATAGACGAACAATGTACTGCTGATCTGAGTTTCATCTCCGAACTCTGTCCATGTTTATTGGTTCAAAATACTGAACGCAAAGGAGCCACTAAAATCCTGCCACCTGTTACAGCGAACATCTCAACTGCTACTCTGAGAATTTCACCAAACAGCACCAGTAGGTTCAGTGGGACTGTGTTCATCATCAAGACTTAAGAGTTTTTAAAGTCAGTTCAAATCAACACCCACCTTTGTTGGGAGTTTTTGGTGAGTACATACTGTACAATGAAAAGTTTGTTCCTCTTCCTCCCTTGCAGGAGACAGGTGTCTCCAACAGGACTTTGAGACATCTCTTCAAGTAAGCATCTGCTCACCCTGAGACTCAGTGCTGCAGAGGATCCTGTCAGCTGTTGGGTTTGTTGGCCACATACATTGGTTGAGAACATTTGCTGTAGATCAGAGGCTCCATCATCTGTTAAAAAAACATGTTTTTTTTCTTTAAGAATTTAATTCACTGACTATAATGACAAATTTTTATGAAAAACATTTCGCTAACACTAGCATTCTAAAGTGGCTGAGGTTGAACATGGGTAGTTTGAGCTAAATGCTAAAGTCAGCATGCTAAAGAGCTGCAATGTTTTATATGCTTTCAGCATGTTAGCATTGGCTAATTATCACTGAGACTGATGGCAATTTATTCGGGTATATGGCCATAATCCAAAGTATCTGATAAACTATAATTTTGACCTGATGGTGGCACTAGAGAGAGGGGGGGAAAAGGAACATATACTGTATGGGTTTATGAATTTTCATGGCAAACCATCCAAATAACTGTTGCAACGTTTCTCCCAAAACCACAAATATGAACCTCATGGTGGATCTAAAGTTCTGGGACTTTGAAAATAATTAGGATATATTTCTGCAAAATTTGGAGCCAATTATAAATGTTGAGATAGTTCACTGGATAAACGGCAACTTCGACCTGCTGGAGGCATGAAGCCAAAGCCAGCAGACGTCGCTCTCTGGGGACCATGAATGTTATGACCAATGAAGTTAATGAAAATCCATCCAACAGTTCAGATGTCTCAGATGTCAAAGTGTTGAACCAACTATATGACAGTGCCATTCATAGGTCAATGCTGCTAGCATGGCTAAAAATTAAAGGAGGAAGCCAGTTCATCCTCCTACTCTGGAAAATAACAGTAAGCAGCAGGTGAACAAAAACAATCAGGCAAGTCAGTTGATTTAAATGAACATTTTATTGAACAGAAGAAAAAAAAACCTCAAAAGTGTTAGACTGTGGTTCTTCTTGTTAAAGCACTGAAGCTCATTACTAATAAAGTGCACTTTAAGTTTACAGCCAAACAGCCAAGCTCAGTCAGCACCCATCTGATGGAGGACTCTCTGCAGCTGCATGTCCTAGGCAGAGTACTATCATATCACAGTACAAGACCAAGTGCAGCAGCTGAGCATCTGAGTGAGGGTGAGTGCAAGTGTTAATGGAAGATCAGCGTGTTAATAGTCTCTGTCCTCTCACCTGAACTTAAGCTGTTTCAAACTATTCCTGTGACTCAGTTCAACCCGGTAATAGCAATATTGCAGCAGAGGAAACTTCTAAACAGTTCTGACTGATTATGTTAGAGTGATTGTAATATAGCACAATTACAGGGTTTCATTAATGGTGATAAGCTAAAATATTTCAGTTAGTGTCTATACATTTAAAGATTTTCACTTTAAAAAAATATTCTCCTATTTCGAGAAGTGTTTTTCTACATAATACGTATGTACAGTGTAACTTTACAAAGAAAATAATGTTCTGTTAAAGACTGTTGCAAGGTCAGCATAGACTCCAGTTTGGCACGTATTCACCTGGTAACAGACTAAGAAGAAGAGGCAGCAGAAACCAGTGCATTCAACACCCCAAGATTCTGTTTTCACTTTAAATCCTGCCTCTGCTGTAAAGCACAGACACTAAGCTAGCAAATTAATGGTATTCCAGCCTCTTTTCTTTATAATGAGATGTGTCTGAAATGACAGTTTCCTCTGATGTGCAGCAAACAAGAGTGTTATTACCATGAAAACAAGTTGTTTGATGTTGCACTATTGTACAGGGCATGGCAACAAACCCTGGGGAAAACATCTACAGTACAAGAAATATTGTATTAATTATCAGTGAAGCTTGATGTTTACCTCTATGGGATTTAGGATTCCAATGTGCAACATAATACAGTTTACATCACCAAAGTCAGAGACAACCCATGAAAGAGTCATTAAGCTGTAGCTTAACACAGGAATGAAAAGGGTTTAAAAAAAAAACAAAAAGAGGGATGAAAGAACACTGTCGCCAACATCCCAGCAGGTCGCGTGCATTGCACGTGATGTAGAGGAGGATTGAGTTTGATATCACAGACACAGCAGGGGGGACAGGCTGCTAAGAAACACATCCACTACCAACATTGAAAAACTTCACCTCTTATTGCACTGTTTTCACTTTTCCATGTTAAAAGCTTAGGTAGTTGTGGGATGTCTAACTTTCATCATGTTAATCTGTTGTATATTTTTATTTAACATGCATACTACAAAATTAACCTGATGAAAACCTTTGTTTAACCTGTTGTTTTAGATACACCATGCCCTCCACACTGGGGGCTCTATTTTCCTGCCAGCACAATTTCTGAATCGCTTCAGTCGCAGTCCTTTTGCAGTCTTCCTGGGGCGTTCATCTACTTTTTTTGCACATTGGTGTATTTGACATTTTCCTGCCATGAACAAATGTGCTTACACTGAGGTGGGAGGAGAGGTGCAGTTCAGGCTGTGTGTATGCTGATTAGGCAACAATTCTGTTCTCATTTTGACCCAAAATAACAGTAACACCTGCTCAGACCGCATCTTATCACTTTCACATGTGAATTTGCAATTTTCCAAATTTTAAGGCGTAGGCTGGGAAGATCAGGTACCCAAATCAATTTTAAAGGCCAAATCCACAATTGATCTGCTGGAATTGACAGGTAAATAATTTGCATCATGAAATACGTGTGATAATTTAGAAAGATTATTTTATTTTTAAATAAGATAAACTAGTTCTCAGTCATGTGGCTACAGATATGAATATGATCAAACCGTGCCAGTGTGCATCAGGATGCACTATCTGTCCTTACAGGACACAGCCAGAGGTGATCAAGTTTCACACAGACATACCTTTGTTACTACCGCAAGGATACACATTGTGTTTTTGCACTTTATGGTGGTTTTGATCAGCTTTGAAAGCAGCTGTAGGTGGAGATAAAGTGGGTGATACACACTGTATGTATAATAACTTGGTTTGATTGGACATAACTAAAGCCAGCCCCGACTCCACGTGCACCATGCATTCCTCCCTATAATAATGTATCGAGCTTCTCCACCACAATGTGGACAGTAACGCCTGCCTTTGCACAAAAGCAAAATTGCAAAACATTGTTGAACACGTGCATGTTGATACGAGTTTAGCGCTGCATCCTATGGCAGGAAAATATTGCCCTGAGAGTTTAGACATCAGTCTTAACATACAAAGCTCTTAAAAATGCCACAGACACCTTCATTATCTACCAGCCAGCCTTACAAATAACAGTAATAAATATGTTCAATAAATAGGGGTTCTATAAGTTTAAAAATAAAGGTTCAGCTGATTTGGATGGAGATCCATCAGTTCTCCATTCACGTGTAGTGTTAAAGCATGTGGCTCGGTTGGATTAAGTGTTAAAGTATTGGACTGTATCAGGTTAGGTTAACATGAGTTGTCATAGCTGACAGCAGCTCACAGTGAATCTCTATACTGTCAACGAGTTACTCCATTTAGGTAGATTTAACCTTGTGAGTTGTCCAATTCAAGCTCAGATATTGCTTCAGATACTGTATCTCTATGTGTATTAGTTGGTGTTTATCTCGACCTCCACCCGCTTCTCATGTATCCACCAGGGACATGAACACTGGGCATTGATGGGACAAAAGCCCATATTGAAAGGAATTATTATCAAGACAGCAGACCTTATTTATATATAAATGATGCAGTACAATTTCTGACAGCTGTCTGTCAACTGTATATGCACCAGCCCCTTCTCCTGGCAGAGAATCACCTCTGCAGGCTTCTCCCACTAGTCTACACCATGTCTGTGGGGCTCAATGCGGATGTAGACTCCTTGTAGTTTATCTCATACTCTTGACCATTTTTAATTTTGCTTTAAAGTGCAGTCTAGATGCAGGTGACTAAAAGACAAGAAGCAACTTACATAGAGAGATGATACGCAGCTAAGCCCAGATGCTGACACTGGGACAGAGTACTGGCACATACGTCAGAGAGCTCTGACTTGGAGGACGGACGGAGATGACATAAGTCTGAAATTTTTAGGCTGAAGGTAAAGGGGGGGAAAAGGTTTCATCCTATTCAGTCTCATCCTGTGTCAGTGGTGAAGCTCCGCTCACTCCCTGGACTGGTAGAAGAGGATGTATCCCGACTCGGAGTTCTTGGAGATGTCTGAGGTAAGCCCATAAAACTCCTCGATGGCCTGGGCATCAATTTTCTGCACAATAACACAAACAAAAGTAGAAACAGAGAGATGAATCAAAGAACATCACATAGAGTATAACAGGCTAAGTGTGAGAGTGACGCACCTCCACGATGTCATCGTCAAACAGCAGCCAAAAGCCGTGGCTCTTCACTATGGTGATGTAATGACCTCTGTTTGGGCCACTGAGGAAACAAAGACAAACCGTCACTCTCCTGTTGTTTAGATGTTGCAGTGTGAAATCTCCCCCACTGTCCCACATGTGTCTTACTGACACTGATTATCAACAGTTTGCCTCAAGCACTCACCATCATTACATCCAACATTTTCAAAGGCACTGTTAACAGTCACTATATTACAGTACAACAGCTTTTTCCTGCGGCTGTCCAAATGTTTGGGCCACATTTCACTTCTGTCCAGGCAATCTGCTGCACAGCAACCGTGTCTTTAAAAGAAAAGAACTAAGCCAGTCTCGCTACAGAGTACAAGCCAAGCTGCGTGGCATTTATACTAAACTGCTAATTAGCACCGCAACTGACATTATTAATAGAGATGCAACAACTGAAATGTTCTTGGCCGATTCCAATTTTTTTTCTAAAGAACTGTAATCGACAGCATACACAGACATTTTTGTAACTTTTCTTTAATGAGAAGCTGAAATAAAAATAAAACATTGCAAGTGTTACATTTGTCTCTCTCACTTTTAACAAGCCAACTAAAAATCAAGTGCCATATTTGTACTTCTCCAAACATAAACAGGTGCAGCAGGTAAAAGAAACGAGAGTGTCTGTTACTCCTGAGCACACAACTCTTTGTGAAGTGTGTAGTTTGTATTTGCTGTGTTTTAACACTGGTTGTATACACGGTACATATACCTGCATTTCATGTGCAGCCAGTAATTCCTTCATTGTTCGCTATTTGGATATAGTTTCTCCTTCTCCAAGGTGTTTCTATAGGCTCCTCTGTGCGCTTTTTGGACTCCAATGTGTGAGTGAACATGCGCCCAGTGAAGAAACGAGTAAAGGTGAATGCAAGATGCTGCACCTACTACACTTTTGGTCTGTGCCGCTGCGTGCACGACGTGGACTGTGGTGCCTCTAAATCTGATCGTCACACTGGTCAAGGCCGATCATGCTGAAAACCGGCGATTTCCGATCTCTGCTTATCGATTTGTGCATCTCTAATTAACTACATTCTGAGTTATCGTTTTGTCTATGATGCCAGAAAATCACAATGCCTAACAATATTCCAGCGCATGAAAGAAACATTTTTAAACAGCTTGGTTTATCCGTTCAACAGGCCAAAATCTAAAGCTAATCAGCGCACTGTTATATAAAAAAGAAAATGTGAAAAACTGGAACACACAGCTGGAACGATTAATGGAATGGTGCTCTTTTCTTTATATTTACTTCCTCTTGGCTCTATTTTCAGAAAACATGGTGTTTCTTTTCATCGTTATGCGGACGACGTGCAGATGTCCACTTAATCATAGCACCTTTTAAGTAAATTTGGTTTGAGGTTTAACATAGTACACAATTTGAAAACCAAGACCTACTTCAATAAAATGAACCATTAATATATGAAGATTTACAGTGAGAAAAATATGTAAAGCAATAATTTAATAATGTTCAACATTAATGCATTTTTTATCAATACGGGCAAATACATGTCCATCTTGGAATTTAACTGTTGTTTTTTGTACACGCTGTTAACTGGAAATGCTTCAGAGCACAATTTAGTCTATAAAATACATCTTTAAAATTTAATTTGTTACAATATATTTGACTTACTATTAGGCCTGTCCCGATCAAGTTTTTTGGCACAGTTTGAAGTCCTGTAATATTTGTTATCCATGGCGATTTTGATGGGGATACTTCAAATGATCTGAATCGTACCCTGCAGAGTTTGTTGCTTCACTGTTGCCTTTGCCTCTGTCACCCACGAGAAGTCACTATATTCTCTAAGGTGTTTTCTTTTAAAGGTGCAGTTCAAAGTAAATCAAATCAAATCATTGTTTATTGTCATATGCATAGTAAGGAAACATGTTTCCCTGCACAATGACATTCTTCCTTTGCTGTCCACAATGAATGCCAAACAATATAAAGTCTAAATATAAAATAGATAAGACTCATCTGTACCGTTTGGCGTTCGAACCAGTATGAGTCTCTGTCTTGTTGAGCTTTTTTGTTTTATGATGGGTGGTTGTTTTAGTGTGATCCTGTTTTATTGTTGTGTTTATTGCTTTTGCTTGTTTTATTGTGTTTTAATGGGTTTTAGTGATATTGTGTTAAGCACTTTGGTCAGATTCGGCTGTGTTAAACGTGCTATATAAATAAAGTTGATGATGATGATGAACTAATGAAGGAAGGCTCAGTTTGAACTTCTCTCTTTTTGTTACACAACTGTAAATATGAGTTCCTGTAATCAGCATACCATACCTGCCACAGTGGACCACCACAGCCACCAGATCATACATGCGATCCAGGTTGACGGCATCCCCAGATGTGTTAAACAGGCGGAGTTCTAGGGGGAAAACCACTCTGTACGACAGCTTGGTGTAGCGGTGCAGCTGCTCCATGTACTTAAACCTCTTCAGGTGTAGTGCCAGGATCATAGGAAGCTTCTTCACACGCATCCTGCACAAAAACATACATGCTCAGGGAGGTGTGCTTTTGGCATAAGGACACATTACAGTGGTTTTAATCTCAGTGCTTTACCAACCGCTTCTGTGCTTCCTGCTTGCTGCAGCATATCTCACAGTAGTATTTGTATTCACTGCACAAAGTCTCTGTGTTACTGAAGTCCCTGGAGGGGAGAGCATGTCACAAGAGGCTTGGTGATTCAATTTTATTCAGACCAAGAGGTAACTGGTCTCCTGTCAGCCACTTAGCTGTGAGTGAATGTATAATAAATCGATACTACCTGAGACAGTGTGTTATTGATGTGTTCTGCTCCACATCAACAGAAAGATCTAGAAAATCCTCATCTTTGCTGCTCACCTGTCAAAGAAAAGAAGAGACAGTGACGGTACTTACCTGTCATTGTCTGTGACTGAGGACTGCACCCACCCGCCCACACCTATACACACAGTGAGTCTTTGAAATGCTCATTATACAGAGAGGCTTTTGTGTCTGCACAGTACAGCGCCTTGGTGTTTCCAGGGGTTGTTCAGGGCAACCTGTCCTACTCTATGCTCTCACAGTTGTGAGGCTAAAGCCTCTGGCAGCTCTGGCACAAAGTGGGTGGTCAGAGCACACCAGGCATGCTCACTGTATCTGTATATCTCCCAGCATCTCTGCAAAGGGCTAATCCCCTTTTTGGACTTATTCACGACAGATGTGTAATTCAGGGGGGCATAAGGACTGAACAACATCAAACATACAACCCCTCTATTAGAACACAACAGGCAAACAAAACAGAGCCACACACCGTCTCACAGTTGAGGCAGCGTGTCTCGTTGGTCAGCGTGCCTTGGAAGATGTCGTGAACCCACGTGGGTTCGGTCTTGTTCTCCACCTCGGTCTCCGTGGTGACGTTGGTGCCGTTGTTCTTGAGGCGTCCGTTCTGCTTTTCCTGCTTCTTCTCCTCCTGCAGGATGTCGGCAACTGTGTTCAGCAAGTAGTTGAGGAATTCGTGGGCATCCTGTTGCATGTAGTTGTCAAACAGGTCTGCAGGATGAGCAGAGATAAAGTAAAGGGTGAGAACTCATACGTGGTGAATCACCGTCACGTTTTTTTGGTCATCAATCTCGATTCCAGCCATTTAATAAGGGGGAGAATGTGGATCTCTAACAGGCCTTTTCTCCCTGAGGACCTTCTGACAAACCCAGGTGTAACTGAGAACATTAATGATCGCTGGCTCACTGGCACCAAACAGAACAGAGTCTGACAGGGAACGTCTGTCTTAAGAAAAAAATGAACAGGCTACACTGATGATATTAGCATCCATCCATTCTGGATTTGAAAGATCCAAATGTGAATGGTGAAAGTTGAGAAGGGAGTGAAATCAGAGAGAAAGAGAGAGAATAAAAAAAATAAAAAAAGAGCCCAGAGAAGAGACATCTGACCAAAGCTGAGTCCAAACAGAGACTGCATTGTTCATTCACATAAAGAGCTTCCTCAATATAAACAGCAGAGAACAGTCGGCATGTCTGAATGACCTTACCACCAACATGCACCTGCCCTTCACCTCAAACATTCAGGCCACATTAAAGCCAACACTGTGACCAACACAAAGGTTCAGATCTCCACTCTCTCAGTGTTTATGAACATGCATGTCCACTTTATGGCTTTGGTAAAATATATGAGCAGACACTGTAACAAACTACTACAGAAAATATTTAGTGGACCCAGTGTTAGACACCAAACCATACACAGAAAAAAGAAGTTTCATGGGATGCAGTACAAACTGTAATAGCAAGAAAAGCACAGGTGTAACAATAAATTAGCGACAACTGTCCCAGTTGGCTTCCCAGTGTGCACAACACCAGGACACTGAAAGTGACACGCCTAAATGTCAAAGCAAAGCAAACTGTCCTTTTCTGTGTTTCCCCGACAGGAATTATGGCAGTGTTACCAAAAGCTTCATATGCTTCATTAAAAATGAAAACAAAACATAAGCACGCTGTGGTAGCTCAATGGTATGACACAAAAGGGACCCACCACGCCAAACACACCCACAAACAACACAAGCACACTGATGTTACTGTTTAGCAGTAGCACACAGGCTGTTAACAGGTGTGTGTGCAGCTGCTGGCCAGATCGAGTCGACCTGCCTAGTCTTTTCCTTAGCCGACTTATTTGTCAAAGACAGAAGAAACCGCACCACACTGGACGGTGACATCATCAGGCAAAGGTGCTGCATTGCACAATCACGTACGGGGGATGATTGGGATGCGGATGTTTACAGGAAGGAGGATTTTGTTTACCCTGTTAGCATGAGCATTCACTGCTATTCACTGTCGAATTTGGGCCACAGCAACATAATGACACACCATTCATTTTCATTAGTACTGGATGTTAAACAGTGTTTTTATTCTAACAATGCTGACAAACAAGTGGTAGAATTGGGGCTAAGGTAGAGTAGGCTACGTTAGCATCATGGCCAACCAAAACACAACTGGACTGGAAACATGAATGAAGCCACTCACGTTGACTTGTCACAATGTGGCCGTATCGTACAACACTCCCCCTGCGACTCCACACCCCCGACCAACACAGCAGGGAGCTGACTGATGCGAACATACCATCACTTTCCTCACACTAGCTGTTACTCTGGTAAATGGTAAATGGAATGTATTTTATATAGCACTTTCTCACAGTGTGTTGCACTGGCCAAAGTGCTTTTACAGGAGATGATACACCATTCACACACACCATTCACACACCGATGACGACAGGCTGCCATGCACCAAGCCACCGGGAGCAATTCGGGGTTCAGTGTCTTGCTCAGGGACACTTAGGCATGTGGGGAGACCGGGAGTCGAACCACCAGGTCAGGAGACGACTGCCCTACCTCATGAGCCACAGCCACTGTTATGTACCGATATCATGAGACAGCTTTTGCCCCCACGTCTTGATACTGCGAGATCTCGTCATGCCCCTACTTACTAGTTCATCCAGATTACACCTTAACATTTTTCATTAACTAAACAAAAGGTGTACCTAACTTGGTGCAAACACTGCACCTCTGTGACACTGGCACCCCATGGGTTCAGGACATGAATAAAACTTTATCTCTTTGTTTGTGCAAACAAAATACAAAAATTGTTTTGAACCATTTTAGTGAAACTAAATATAAAAAGAATCTAAGCACAGGCCTATTACTGTATGTCAGCGCACCATTAATGACTCCAGAGTGGGCTTATTGCACATCTGTGCAAGCTAAATATGAACCTGTGCTTCTTCATTTCCCAGGTTATTCCAATCTAATATTGTGCAAGATGGTTTGAATAATACCTTCATCATATGAGATGCCAACTTCAAAGATGTAAATGGTAAATGGTCTTATACTTGTATAACGCTTTTCTATGCATTGCAGCTCAAAGTGCTTTCACACTGTTTGGCCATTCACAAACACTCACACATTCACACACACCAGTGTGATCTCCGGGAGCAACTGGGGGTCAGTGTCTCGTTCAAGAACACTTCAACTTGTTGACTGGACAAGCCGAGAATCAAACCGCTAATCCTTCAGTTAGGAGATGACCCGTTCTACCTCCTGAGCCACAGCTGCCCCCAGATGTGCACTTACAGCATTTTGTTAGTTGAATGATATTTGAATTCCCAGTTGGGTCTGAAAGACCAGCTCACTAAAAATAGAAAAGATAATGGTAATCATAGAGGAGCTGGGGTCAGAAAAGCAAAGTCGGGATGCAAATTAGTCACTTTTTATGTTTGGGCATGTGTCTTTCGCATGTTAATGAATAAATACTTAACAGTTATGAAATGGGGTCTGGCATCTGCTGCTGAAACAAAACATCCTGGGGCAAACTGCATTGTAGTGATTTAAGGAGTCTTCTATCACATAAATACACCCTTTTAACTCCCTCCTTAAAACACAGGTTCATCTGTTGGCTTTCTGTTAAGTCTTGATAACTTGTTGTTGTTTTTAATACTATTATTTCATCTCATTATATCTTACATGCTGTGGACTTTTTCTTTTTTATTCTCTCCTTTGCTGTACAGCAACTTGCTGCTCTGTTCTGCACCAGGCGTATCCAGTCAGGCGGTTGAGTGCACTGTGGTGTCAGTGAAAGACTCAAACATCCATTGACATCTAAAGGTTTCCATGCAAAATCTGGTATGCTAACTTTTCAGTTGTGCAGGTAAAGAAAAGATTTTACCGGAGGACCAATCAGATTCAGAGTTTAAGCAGACTTATTTTACAAAAATGACTTAAAGATTGCATCTCACCATTCTCCTTCCGTAGGCGGGAGATGAACTTCTTGGGTGGGATGACGCCCACTTTCTTCTTCTGCGTGGCGATAGAGTGGAAGAGGTCAGCCAGGCATGTGAGCAGGTTCTCCTTCTTCTTCTGCTGGGCTTTGTAGGCCAACACGTTCTCCCGGAAAGGTCGGCAGAAGTACAGAGCCTGGAGCACTGAGTTACAGTAACAAGTGTTTCCAAACTGAGGAACAGAGAACAGAGGTTTCAGTCTGTGGTTTTCCTTATTTTTCAATTAATATCTACCTAAATTCACTGGTGGAAAAACACCGATGTGCTCTACTGTTTTCATCCTAGTTTTACTCCATGTAATGTTTTTGTAAACGCCATATCAAGCAAACGGAACATCTTTTAATTGGCCAGCTGATTCAACTCACAAACAACACGGTTACCTTCGATACTTGCTGCCCAGTAGAGGACATGACTCACCAGAGTCCAACAGCAGTTTGTTTTGAAAAGAGACACCAGTGTTTCCTGGCAATGACCTTTGCTCATGTATGAGAAGATTTAATAACACTCACGTTGACCAATCCAAAGTAGTGTTCATTGATCGGGAATTGCTCCGGGCCAATGTCTTTCTCCAGAGCAGAGGCATTGGTGCCCTGACAAGACAAAACAGGAAAACATGAGAATATGCATTTAGTTGTTTCCATCATCTCATAACACAGACTGCAGATTTGTGTTTATAGACGGTATAAGATGAAAGCGTAGTTTCTTTTCTAGTCTGTGTATATAGCCAAATTAAAATAAAAATTCTGCACCAACAGGCTAAGAGATAAACCAGAATATACAGTATATACAGTGGGTACGGAAAGTATTCAGACCCCCTTAAATTTGTCACTCTTTGTTATATTGCAGCCATATGCTAAAATCATTTAAGTTCATTTTTTTCCTCATTAATGTACACACAGCACCCCATATTGCAGGGCCA